TTCATTTATGGTTCTCAGAAGCATCCAATATTCCTTCAAAATCTTAAAAATTCATCTCATGCCATAAACTTTTATGTTAATCTTTACTAAAAGTTTATACCGATAAGATTCTCAGTGGATTTAGCATGAAAAATTTTGCACTAAGATATTAACTTATATTAAAAGGCTGATAAATTAGTTTGCTTTAAATTTAATATAATAAATTATTGCTTGAGTTATTCAATTTTTTTAGAAAAAAGGTTTTGTTATAAATTTTGTTTTGTTATAAATATAGAATATGTCGTAACTTTTACAATTAAAATAAATTAAAATAAAAAGTTGAATTTTGGATCATTACACATGATATCATTCGATTTGAGGGTTTAATTTATTTTAATTTATAAAAAGTATGACCAAATTGATATAATATATAAGTAACAATGATCAAATGTGTAATTATATCAAATATTTTAACTACCACATCAGCTTATCCGTTAAATATTAACAGCAAGTAACTTAACTAAATGCATTTAAATAATTGAGTGATCTTATTGACAATATTTCAAAAATATTAGTCAAAATGAAAGAGACAATAGTTAGGTGGTAACTGTTATTTTTTACCATTTATTTTAAATAATTTATCTTTAAATTTTTGATTAATTTATAATTATATACAAATCTTTTAAAATTTAAATTTTTGTATATTAAATTAATGATCAACATTAATAATATTTATTTTGAGCGATATAAAATTTTCCTATACAAATACCCAGAGTTTTCTTAATTTTTAAAATTTTAAATTACATTTGAGTACTCAGTTTTTTAAATATTACAGTGTTATCAACACAATAAAATCTCAATTACGGATCAATCAATCATCGTGACCGGTGTTGATTGATGAGAAAACTCTAGCACTTTCTAAGTTTTTGTACTGCTTTCGGATTTTAAAAAATTATTGTGGTTCTCATTTTCAAGGCAAAAAAAGAGGAACATTTATTTGTAAGAGATATCGGGAAAAGGAGATAAGCCATTGTGTCCGACCCTCGAGGGGATTTGGGAAAGAAAGAAAGAAAGAAAGAAAGAAAGAAAGAAAGAAGATGAGAGCCACACTTCCGACACTAAATCCCCAGTCCTTCCTTTCTCCTCCGCCACTTTCTTTCAAACCCTCATTAGCTTTCCCGGAAACCAAAAGGAAATCACCGAGCACCACCTTATTCCCAAAGGGCACTTCATCGCCTTCTTTCGCTCGATTTCCACTAAGGGTCAGTGCGAGTTCTCAAGCCGCTTCTGCAACTGAATCAGCCAAAACGACGGCCGTGGCCAGCGAAATGAAGGCTTGGGTGTACGGGGAATACGGTGGTGTCGATGTTTTGAAGTTTGATGAGAAAGTGGCCGTTCCAGAAGTGAAGGAAGATCAGGTGTTGATTAAAGTGGTCGCTGCTGCTCTTAACCCTGTTGATGCCAAGAGAAGGCAGGGCAAGTTTCAGGCTACCGATTCTCCTCTTCCGGTAATTTTTTTTAACTTCAGTTTTGCGTGCAAGTTTCCGTTTGGATTGAAGTTTTCTGCTTACTGGTTTTCCATTGAAACGACCAAGATTTTTTTGTAAAATTTCTCCAACTTTGATAGTAATCTTATTACAATGACAGAGATATGATTTAAAGCCAGTTGTGTTCCGTGGCTTTCGTAGTTCAGTTGATAGTAATCTTGAGTTCGACTCTCAATGAAAGCAAATTTTATGGATGTGAATCCCTTTTTGACTTGGTTTTGCTATAGACTGTTCCAGGCTATGATGTTGCTGGTGTGGTGGTAAAGGTTGGGAGTCAAGTGAAGGAGCTGAAGGAAGGAGATGAAGTGTACGGAGACATAAATGAGAATGCATTAGAAGGGCCTAAACAGTTTGGTTCCCTTGCTGAGTACACTGCAGTTGAAGAGAAGCTGCTGGCATTAAAGCCCAAAAATCTCGATTTTGCCCAAGCTGCTGGCCTCCCTCTTGCTATCGAAACTGCCTACGAGGGTCTCGAGAGGACCGGCTTTTCTGCCGGTAAATCCATTCTTGTTCTGAATGGTGCTGGTGGTGTTGGAAGCTTAGTGATTCAGGTATGGCATCCCGATTTCGTTTGAAACTTGCCTCTTCTGCAATAAATTTGATACTTGCCTTGAAAGTTTTGAATTATGCTTTTAAGTTACTAGCTTCTTACATTATGCCTGTGCATTCTAGCGTTTTGACATATTTCTCTTCCCATTTGTGCAGTTAGCAAAACAAGTATTCGGTGCTTCGAAAGTTGCAGCAACTTCGAGTACCGGAAAACTGGAGTTGCTAAAGAGCTTAGGTGCCGACTTGGCTATCGATTACACAAAGGAGAACTTCGAAGATTTGCCAGAAAAATTCGATGTAGTCTTTGATGCCGTTGGTAAGATAGTAATGTTCTTCCTAAATATGTATGGTCATTATCTTCAGTTATTTGGGGGCCTTTGTAAATATAACGAGTATATACATGATTACTTCAGTGCATTTTGGTGGCAGTAGTTTGCATATTTGATTGTTTCATCTTGGTTACAGGACAATGTGATAAGGCAGTAAAGGCAGTAAAAGAAGGCGGTAGCGTCGTGGCCCTAACCGGCACTGTCATGCCGCCCGGTTTTAGATTCGTTGTTACTTCTAATGGGGAGGTTCTCAAGAAACTGAATACGTATATAGAGAGTGGGAAAGTGAAGCCTGTTGTTGACCCCAAGGGGCCATTCCCATTCCCTCAAGTCGCCGAGGCTTTCTCATACATAGAAACAAACCGAGCGACCGGAAAGGTAGTTATATACCCGATTCCATAAACAAAACAGAGGAAGGGAAACAGCCATTTTCTAGTGCAAGCTGCGATTCCTCTTAATAGTTTAGAACCAATGTAAGTCCATGAATACTACGAATTTGTAATGAGATTTTGCCAGCTGCTTTTCGTATGTTTTCGTTGGTGTTCGGCAGATTTCTCGTAATGATTAAAGCATGAAATGTTCTAGTCCAGGTAACGATGTCAAAGCTGTGCAATTTACGTTAATCGTATCTCCAATGAGACCCTCTTTGAGTTTTTACCAATCACCGACGTCCCTTGTTCTTCATACTGTCGGTCTTTAAACATGTTCGTGTCAATTTTTTCGTCAATTATATTTATGTATGACGATCAGGTTTATTTACCTTATTGATCTATAAATAACTACTATCATTCTAAGTTGATGCTAATATGAAAAGCTGACACTATAATTAAGAGAGGATATATAAACTCCCATGTGAAATGGAAGAGATTCATCATCTTCTTTACATTAGTTTTTATTTTTTTCATAGAAGCATCTAGCGTAATTTTTTTATTAAATCGAAAGGGATAAATAGTTGAAAACGCCATAACTATATTTCTCCTATCAGCACTTATATACCCATAATTTTATATACCCTTAACTTATTTTATGTTATGAAATGCAATAAATTTATGCATTATTGATGAACGATAGTGAAGGGATGAATAGGTGATTCTGTGAAATCGTCAAATGACAAGGATATAATTTTTTTATTAATCTATAGTAATTATAAAGTAATATTATTCTAAAGATTTTCAGTAATTTGTGTCTAGTACTCTAATCTAACACTTCTAAAAGTAACATATATCTTTTTAACTACTAAGATAATTTGGTTCGTGTAAAGATAAACCCTATAATGAGGAAAATGGGTCCATTGTTGCCGGTGGTAGCTTGGTCCATTGTTGCCGGTGGTAGCTTGGTAGTCCAACAAATGTGTGGAAACAAAAGATTAAAACAAGAGAGATGCGTTTTTGCTTTTGTTTTTTATAGAGCCATGCAATGCAAATGCGTGTGATGTGATCCTTCCACGTTCAGGCAATAGCTACCACCTGTCCTTGCCTTGTATGGACTATCTCCAATACTTCAGGTGCTGTCGCCTGTCCATTGATATATTATCGAATTATTGTGGATGGTTTAAAAATATGATTGAACCAATTTCAATCCTAAATAAAAGTAGAGATACGGAATTTATTTAGCTCTTTCAGGAAGAAGGGTTCAATTTAAGCTCATCACCACCACTCACTTTGGTGAGACTTCCTTGGTGTAAGTGAGTTAATCCCTCACATGGTGTCTAAGCAGCGGGGGATGTAGGTGTTGCCCTGGGCGGACTCATTCTTTCTTTAAATTTGTTTTTTATATTAATTGTTTATTTTATTGATGATGTCTACTAAAATTTTATTTGTATTTATTCTTTTACAAAAAAAAATGTGTTACTAATATATAGTGTTCATCCTCTAAATATTCTAAATCTGTCATTGTGTTTAAGTGTCTAAGTATAACATTAAGTCGATAATATTTTAAGAGGATATTTGGGGATGGTCGGGATTAACAAATCCTATATCATACGTAATTGACATGAGGGATTGAGCTCTAACTTTTATCAATTCTTATAAGATACGATACTCAAAATCTATTATGCTGCTTTTAGGATTGTGAGATTATGCTTGTGTAAAAGGAACACTCAAAAACGATTGTTGGATTAGTCTTGTGCAGGGATGTAACCAAGAGGTTAGAGAGGGGTGGTTGGGGACGATCGCCTCCTTAAAAATTTTAAATTCATATATATTTTAGATATTTCTACTAAAAATATGTTTTATCCCTTTTAACATTTTATAAATTCTCTTTTATTTAAAATTCTATAAGTTGATTCTCTAACATAAAATCCTCTATTCGTCTCTAGTAGTTGTGTGGCATATCGTGCGAGCATTCCAAAGATGGTACAATGCACTAGAGTAATGCCTTGAAGCTGGTGTTGAGTAGGCTGTCGAGTGTGGCCAATGAGCGGCTTTATTGGGTGGCGTGATTCTACTGAGTAATGCCTTGGGTTCGTGAGCGATGTGCACTTGTGGATATGGTGTTAGGTCCGTGGCACTTGGGCTTCTTGCGGGCTGAATGCCAATAGTGGGATGAGAATAGTGCAAAAGCTTGTTCCCTTGCCCTGTTCTCAGATATTTAATCAACACAAACTGGAGAAAACACTGCTCCATTATGCTTAAGATTCCCTTTCAAGGAGCACACATCAAACGCCACTTTTTTTACACAGAAAATTATCCAAAATGAACCGAAACGACACAGATACGAACTTCTATTATTCTCTAATAGAGCTTTTGATTAGTAAAAAAACACATGGTGAAACTGCTCATTCTGCTGCTAAAGTGGGTGAAATCTGGAAATCTGGAAATCCAGATTCCAGAGACTAAATTTCCCATCGACGAAATCGTAATGTGCACCTTTCAAGGCCACAGATTTGTTCACCACTGCTTCTCTCACGAATGGATATGTCAATAGGTTCCCCAGGGATACATTCACTGCCTCCTGCATTTTAGGTTTAATATCACACATTCAACGTTTTAGTTTAGAAACAGAAAATTATATAATTCGTCATTATTATTACCTTCTCGCAATTGTTGCATTGCTCGGAGAAACTCAGCTCGTTACTTTCTGATTTCACTTTGGTCTTTGCTGGTGCACAGATGCTAACCCAATTTTCTATGAAATCGCTGCATTTTCCGTAATTCATGTTAGAAATCAAACTTGATTTCTAAATATTGAAAAGTTATTAAGGTGATCCCACACAAATATTATAAAATTGCAAGTTACAATATACTTAATTATTAAGCAAAGTTCAAGGCGGCAGAATGTTGTAGCATAGTTGAAAAGTCAAAATATGGATGAATTGGCAAGCTTGGCAATTAAGGAAAAGAGTTTTGGCAAGACAAGCAAAGTTTGTTTTGATATAAACATGTTCACGTGAAGGATTAAAAAGGCGGCATCTATAATACTTAATTATTAAGGAGTTCAAGTCTTAGGCGGTTTATTACATATCTATATATATATGGGTATTTAGCTTAATATGGAATATGTAATACAAATGAGATAAAATATGGTTGAAAGCTTAAAAAAGCTAGAGAGAATTTGAGAGAGTTTAGCAAAGCTTAGAATAGCAAGGTTGTGTTTGTAAACTAGCCGCAGCTAGTATTGCAGTGTTGTAATATTAGGGTAATGTCAATGTAACGTATTTTACCTCGTATCAATAGTAATTTCGAGTTTTATAAATTACCAAGAGCTCACCTACGCTTCCAAAAAGTGGTATCAGAGCTTGGTTCGAATTTAACGTGGTTGAGAAGATGACCAATATGATTCAACAATAAATCCCGAGATTGACAAAGACGAATTATGACAATTGGAGCATTCAAATGAAGGTGTTACTAGACTCCCAAGATTGTTGGAATATTATCGAGGATAGTTATACCGAGCCTGAAAATGCAGCAGCAGAAGCAGCCCTGGCCAATGAAGAAAAGAAGGTATTGAATGAATCCCGAAAAAAGATAAAAGAGCGTTGTTCTTTATTTTTCAAGGAGTAGACGAATATAACTTTGAAAAAATTTCTGATGTGAAGACCGCAAAACAAACATTGGAGATTTTGCAAAAATCTCTACAAGGTACCGAAAAAGCAAAGAAGGTACGTTTACAAACTCTTAGAGCTGTGTAACATCCGCAATGCCGGGTTAGTGACCAAATTGTAAAGTTTTAGAATTTGGTGACTAAAGTAGAAGAATGAAAGAATTCAATGATTATTTGAATATATATATTGAAGGTTATTTGGTAATTATTAAAGGAAATTAAGGGTATTATGGTCATTTGACCAGAAAGATTTTTATAATTTTTTTTAAGGTAATATAAACGTGGGACATTTGAGAAGCATCCAGAGTTCTCTGCTCCTTTCTTCTTCTTCATACGTGGGAGAGCAAGGCAAAGGTAAGTTTAATTTCAGTTGGTTAATTCTTAAGTTTTAAGCTTAGTTTTGATTCTTTGGGTATTAAATAAGCTTAAGGAAAGCTTATATGGGATTTAAACAATAAGATAAAAGAATTATGAAGGAATTTGCAATATGAGTTTTAAGATGAAATTTTGATATGGTATGGTTGTTGAAGTTTTAGGGATGAATTTGACTTGTCATCAATCTAATTAAGAAGTATGAAGTGTTAGAATTGGAATTAGAACACATTGAAAATTTGGTATGATTTTTGAATCTCATATGGAAGATAGGATTTTGAGGTTTAAGATGAAATAAATGAATATAGATTGGTTTAAGTATGTGTACTAGAGTTAAGAATGAAAAGGGGATGATATATGAAGTGTTTGAGTGGAAATGAAGTAATTTTCGGGTTGAAAATATGATTTCTGGGCAAAGGGAATCGGTACCCATTCAAGGGGAACCGATACCCCTTCAAACGAACAACATTTCCAGAATGTCTGTAGGGAATCGATACCCCCATAGTAGGGAACCGATTCCCCCCTAAAGGAAAATGTTAATATTGGTTTAATAAGTTCGTTTAAGTTGCTAGTATCCAATTAAAAGGTGTAGGTATCTAATAATTGTCTTAAAATGTATAATTATGTAGATTCAGAGCCTAAACGAGTTCCGGAATCATTGACAAGTAAGATCGATAAAAAGGGAAGATAAGAGATTGAAATGGACTAGTGAGGCCAGGTGAGTGCATATTAATTCATTTATGGTGCTAAATGGAAACAAGACTTGTGACAAGTCTATTTCCTATGTTTAATGCATGAATATATGATTATATGTATATGCATGACATAAATTATATGTATGCATGATTATATGTGTTAACATGCTTTTGAATGAATGATATGAAAAGTGAGATAAACAAAGTATGGTTGATATAGGGTAATATAAGAATAGCTCATAAGGTTATATGCATAGGTAATATAAGTTATAAGATGAGAATATATAGGAATATCAAATAAGTTATGAGATAAGTTATGTGACATGATCTATATATATGAGTTTTTGTGATATAAAAGTGTATAAGTGAAATAACATGATAGGTGATAAAACCGTAAGCCTATATGACTATGTGTTATATGTTACATGATATGACATGCAAGTTACATGAACAAATGAGAAATGGTATAAGTCATATGAAACGATCTACGTGAATACATGCACTTGTGATACATGTGATATGAGATATATGGTTACACATACATGTGGTATGTGATAGAAAAGAAATAACAAGTGATATGAAATTGAATTAAGTAAACAGAATAGATTATATATATATAAAGAAATAATAGAAGTGAGATGTGTTTATAAGTCTGACATAGATGAATATGAATATGAATTATAAGAGTGCTATATGATTTATATTAGGATAAATCTTGAGAATATATATATATATATGTCTAAGAGAAGGCATAAGATTAAGATATAAGCAATGTGACTATAAGTATATATGTGCTCTAAGTGATATGACTTATAGATATTTCTATTATAATGTTACATAATATGTTATGTATGTTAAATGAATTATGTGATGGTATAAGAAATGATATGAAATATATATGTGAAAACAAGTATATGTTATGAGATAAGACCTATGACTATAAGCTACGTGAAAGTGTTCTAGGTGTTTTTATATATTACATGAAGTATATGATCTTATGTGAACAAGATATGATAAGTATGTTTACATGAATAAAGGTGATTGGGTGAGAAATGATAGAAATTATATGAAAACATGACATATGTGACATGTGAATTATATGGAAATGATCTACGTGTAAGTGAACTACGTGACTATGTGATAATATGAAAAGAAGCTATGTGATACGTGATATGTGAAAGTGAAATGTACATGTGAATATGTGAAGTGATATGAATATAATGCCCATGTTATATGATACGAGAGCTATAGGTATAGTTGGCATGCCAAGAGTCGAGGGTTTACCTATGTCTTTCGAGACATATGGACAGTTTACCGAGGATCTTTATGACCTCTGGACAGTTACCGAGGATCTTTATGACCTCTGGACAGTTACCGAGGATCTTTATGACCTCTGGATAGTTACCGGGGTCTTTGTGACCTCTGGATAGGTCCTTCGGGACATTTATATGAGCTGTGGTGACAGTATAGTGGTGCACAACCTCAATAGACTCGCATATCTACAGTTCTCACAAGTGCACATGGGCTAATAAGAGATAACATGGAATGTAATGTATAAGATATATGTGATGTATATACTTATGGTGATATGTCATGTGTTGCTTGAATTATAATGATGTTGATAAAGATAATAATATACATGGGCAATGCAATTGGAAGACAAACGAAAAGTGAAAGTAATACAAGAAGATATGTTGCGTGTGTGTATGACATGATTATATATATTGTTATCATGCAATAGATACATGCATATTGAAATGTCATGATTCAATGGTATGAATGCACGTTCATGAATTTATTGTTATATGTTTAATTATTGCCTCACTAAGTCAACGACTTAGCGTGTGATTGTTTCACACGTAGGTTTCGAGAAGAATAAAGAGTAATGTGGAGCAAGACAGGTCAGTTCTCCTTACCAAATGTCAGATCAGAAAATGTATGTACTGTTTACAGAGTGTAGTTGGCATGTAGTCTAAAGATATAAATGGTATGAACTCTGATATCTGTTGTAAACGTTTTGAAATAATTTAAATGTTATCAAAGTTTTTAAATTACTCACTATTTTATACGAATAAATGTTTGAAAAGTCAATGTGACACTTCGGACTCGTATCCGGGTCGGATACGGGTTGGGGGTGTTACAAGCTGAGTTTGAGAAGTTAAAAATGAAAAATACAGAAACCATCGATGATTATATTAGCCGTGTGAAAGCGGTCGTAAATGAAATGAAAAGAAATTGCGAATCACTCGACGAGGTTAGAGTGATGGAAAAAATTTTGCGGTCATTAACAAGAAAATTCGATTACGTCGTTGTGACAATCGAAGAATCGAAAGATTTATCTCAAATATCGATCGATGAGCTTGTGGGTTCACTTCAAGCCCATGAGTAGAAAATGAAACAAAATGAAGATTCTGAAAATTTGGAGCAAGTTCTACAAAGCAAGATGAATGTCAACGAAGGAGAAGCTAGTAGCAGCTACACACGAGGCTGAGAAAATCGTGGTGGTTATCGTGGAAGATAAAGCGAAGGACGAGGAACTCGTGGACGTGGTGGTTGATCATATGACACTGATCAAATAAGTGAAAACAATCCAATATCATGTCATGGAAGAGGATTCAGAGGCCGAGGTAGAGGCAGATATCAACAAGGAAATAAATCTCAGGTACAATGTTATAATTGCAATAAGTATGGTCATTATAGTTATGAGTGTAGACATGCTCCTAAACTAGAAGAAAGAAATAACGTAGCAGCAGCTGAAGAAGAAAAAATTGAAAAATCTCATGTATTCCTCACTTATAAAGGAAATGAAGAATTCAAGAAAAATATTTGGTATCTTGATAATTGTGCCAGTAACCATATGTGTGGACAAAAGGAACTGTTTGTGAAATTAGATGAAATAATCCATGGGCGAGTAACTTTCGGAGATGACTCGCATACAGAACTAAAAGGAAAAGGCGAAGTCATGATTACTCAGAGAAATGAAGAAAAGAAATACATTTCAGATGTTTATTATGTACCTACTTTGAAAAGCAATATCATCAGTCTTGTTCAACTCCTGAAAAATGATATGAAGTGCAGATGAAGAATCACTCGCTTGCCATCAAAAATAAAGAAGGAGAATTGATAGCCCAAGTTGATATGACTCGAAATCGTCTCTTTACAATTGATATCGAGTCGGGAGAAGTCAAGTGCATGAAGACCGCGATCAAAGATGATTCATGGCTATGGCATCTAAGATATGGACATCTTGGATTTTTTGGTTTGAAGTTGTTATAAAAAAACAAGTATGGTGAAAGGACTACCAGAGATCAACTCTCCAAATCAATTATGTGAGGCTTGCATCAAAAGAAAGCAAAATAGACAAAGCTTTTGAAGTTGGTAGGTCCTGGCGTGCCCGAAGATCGCTGGAGATAGTACATTCAGATATAACCGGTTCTTTTGATATACCATCGCTTGACGGTAACAGAAAAGTCAGAAGCGCTGGAAAAATTGAAAGAAATTAAAGTAATGGCAGAAAAGCAAAGCAGTCAATATTTGAAGATACTCAGATCAGATAGAGGAGGCGAATAAATATCGAAGTTATTTGAAGAATTATGTAAAGAGCAAGGTATCATCCATCAGTTGACAGTTAGATACACACCACAACAAAATGGAGTTGCAGAAAGAAAGAACCGCACAATCCTGGACATGGCAAGAAGCATGATAAAAGGTAAACAACTACCGAGAAATTTCTAGGCTGAAGCAGTTCGATGTGCAGTTTACCTATTGAACCGATGTCAAACAAAAAGTGTGAAGTATATGACGCCAAACAAAGTATGGAGTGGACAGAAACCAGGAGTTGGACACCTCAAGATTTTTGGATGCATAACATATGCCCACGTTCCTGAACAGACCAGAAAGAAGCTTGATGACAGAGGAGGAAAATGTATTTTCATTAGTTATGATGAAAGAAGCAAAGCTTATAGATTATATAATCCTCTTACCAAGAAAGTAATAATTTCAAGAGATGTCGAGTTAGATGAAGCAGACTATTGGAGATGGAGCAAAGAGGAAAAGAAAGTTGAAGGATTATTTTTTAAAGATGACAATCTTATCAATCAAGATGAACAAGTTGATGATCAAGGTCCTCAACAAAATGTACCATCGTCGTCAAGCAGCAACAGCGATGCCAACAACATAATAGAAGATTCTGAAGCACCTCCCACAGAAGTTTGAAGATCCAAAAAGAGAGAAGAATGCCAGAAAGGTACAACGATTATGAATTAAATAATGATTCACTATTCAGTCTCTTTGCAAAGAGTGATCTCATAACAAATGAAGAATCAATTGGAGAAGACAAGTGGAGAAAAACTTGGAATGAAAAATTAAGTTTGAGGGAGAGTGTTAGAAATGAAACTTGATTTCTAAATATTGAAAAGTTATTAAGGGGATCCCACACAAATATTATAAAATTGCAAGTTACAATATGCTTAATTATTAAGCAAAGTTCAAGGCGGCAGAATGTTGTAGCATAGTTGAAAAGTCAAAATATGGATGAATTGGCAAGCTTGACAATTAAGGAAAAGAGTTTTGACAAGGCAAGCAAAGTTTGCTTTGATATAAACATGTCCACGTGAAGGATTGAAAAGGCAACAACTATAATACTTAATTATTAAGGAATTATAAGGCGGCAAGTCTTAGACGGTTTATTACATATCTATATATATGGGTATTTAGCTTAATATGGAATATGTAATACAAATGCGATAAAATGTGATTGAAAGCTTAGAAAAGCTAGAGAGAATTTGAGAGAGCTTAGCAAAGTTTAGAATAACAAGGTTGTATTTGTAAACTAGCCGCAGCTAGTATTACAGTGTCATAATATTGGGGTAACGTCATTGTAACGTATTTTACCTCGTATTAATAATATTTTGAGTTTTATAAATTACCAAGAGCCCACCTACGCTTCCAACAAGTCAAACATAAATGTTCGAATATAAATATGGTTTTTATTATTATATGCCGCAATTAAAAATGTCGTCGTGTTACCTAGAGGTAGTCCCGTCGTCCGGGATGGACATGAGCCCTTTGATCCCTCCACAACAACTGTGTCCAATAACCACAATATTCTCCACCTGGAAAAGCATAAAGTTGAGAAAGCAATAGAACTCTTCACGGCACTAACAGATGAGTATCTCATCATTTCTTATTACAAAATCAAAAGGCTGAACCAAATATTACAGTAGTGGTTCACCTTGAGATGCACGACTGCATATTCAATGGCCGCACCAACTCCAGAGTATTTTGTCTGCAGCGAACAAAAACATAAAATACATCGAAAAGAAAGAAATCACAACGGGGGCGGTGCCGGTGAACGCAAACATGAGGCTAACCTTGTCGTAGGGCGGGACCATATTGGCAATGTTTCGGACAATAAAAGCCTCCCCTGGTTGGAAATCCAGGATGTGGGAAGGGCAGACTCGAGAATCCGAACATGCAAACACCAAGAACCATACAGAAACATCAATGTTAAGTAATAAAAGAAACGAGTTTAGATCTCAAAATGTTAGTATATTTTTTGGGTAAACTATTCAAACCACCCGCTTATTCCTACAATTCTATTTTGATCATTTAACCATTTTCTTTTCAAAATAATTTTAAACATTATACTTTTTTTTCGTTTTCCAATGATTATGACATTCTCTTATGGTAATATATCAATAACATTGTTAATCTTTTAACGATCGCTGACAACATTATAACATTAGGTATAAGAATAAATAAAAGACTAAATCCGTAGTTTATCTTTTTTTAGTGCGTATCCATTCATTCTTCTCCTCATCCCCACCATTTCAAAGGGGGAAAGTGGTGGAAATAATGGTCATACACGTCTCATTTAGTCAACCAAAGCATGCAATTTTAAAGGTCACAGTGAGTTTAATTTGTTGAGGTATTAGTATATTCTTGGTTCAAATTTGATACTTTGGGACCAACTCCATTAACAAAGCAACAAACCTCTCCCAACTTACCATGTGAAATAAATCCTCTGAAATTAATATTAATAGGTAAATATATAGAAGAAGAAGAAGAAGAAAAGTTGACCAAGTATGATAAGATAAGAGCGAACCTTGGGGCTTTGCCCTTTGGCAAGAGCACCGTACAGATCAGGATTTTTCCTGGGAATATTGAATGGAAAGAAGAAGCTTGTGTAAATGAATTGGAATCTAAAGCCATCCAGCATCAAAATTCAACCACATATTATATATTTTCTTTGCAACTGATAATTTTCATGCGCTGTTGCCTTTTAAAAATCAACTTTCTTTATTAATTATTATACTATAAAAACAAAAATGATAGCGACAATCATCCGACTTTTAATCTTTTTTAGGAAAGCCATTACTGACGCTTTGTCAAATTGGAAAGACACACAGAAAAATGGGAAAGCAGTTAGTAGCATACTCGTATTTTTCTTTCTTGAAGTGAAGGAAACCGGTTTCGATCCGCTTCACCGGATCGAACTTAGTCTGGTCGGCGACAGCCGCCTCTAGCTCGGTCGTTATCCGCTTGATCTTTGCGGCGGCGACGCTCCCGAGATCAGCTTTGTCACTGTAACCAAGGATGACGTACGCCGATAAATTAAAAACCGTTACGGAGTTTTCAGTGGGAACAGAAATATAGGTAATGGTCCGAGGCTGGACCCCACTTCCAGAAAAAAACAACACGGTTTTCCGTGTTCGATAAAACAGTCAAAACGACGTATAAGGACGGCAAATTGAGTTATCGGAAAGTACAGCACTGTAATAATAATAATAATAATAATACCTGAGAAGCTTCGACAAAGCTGCAATGGCTTCCTCGTATGATTCACTGCCCATGTTGTCTTCTTTCTGTTTACCTTGTTAGATATATGAATTGCAAAACTATACCGTTAGCACTGACTGGAAATATAAACAGTAATTAAAAGGAATAAATTCGTAAACCATGTCGTGGCAAAAATCACTGCCTTAGAAACGAATTCGTCCCGATGTGTGTAATCGCTGTAGTAGGCGGACCGTCCCCCGAGGTTAACATGGTCGCTCCAAATTCCGTACACCTGAAATCGGAGTGGACTGCTGGTGGTATTGCTCTTCTGATTGAAAAACACTCAGAGAAAACTCACAGAGAAAACTCACATAAAGAACTGTATAAAACACTTTTGTAAGTGAATTGTGAATGTTTGAGAGTGAGTTAAGAAGCTGAATATAATTCTCTATTTATAGGCTAGAAATAGGGTTAATATCGTCCATAAAATTTCAAGATTAAATCTCTTATTTTGTAATAGCTAAAACATCTAGATGAACCTGACTAAAAAAATAGTCCATGTTCATTGCATCATTATTCAGCTGTTATAACTCTTGAAATTATATCATGTAACCCTTGGAATTAAAGAATTAAATCAAATAACTCCTGATATTAACAGTTTGTCTCCTCTTTATAAAGCTGTTTAATTTCTGATAACTCTCATAAATCAAGTCCTCAGCAGCTTATTCTCTAAAAAGATAATATTCGCGCGGACGTGTCGAAGACACGTATGACCACGACCACGACTACGACTACGAGCCGAGACGAACGGCGGCGGTGCGCGAGAGTCCCCCTTGTTCTCTATCACTCAACAAGGAAGTAAGAAAGTCAAACCTTAAATATCATTCTTAATAGTATTTCCAATACTATATGAGATTAAGCATTACCAACATACCTAAAAAAAACCCCTCAAAATTAAGAATATTAATCAACAGAACACGATGAAACCGAAATACGAAGAACAAGTTTAAAAGGAAAATCAAAAAGGTGATTTGAATCGGACAAACTCTGTGTCTGGTTCAGAATTTGATATAAAAGGCAGAAGAGATTTTTTTCTTGAGCCAGACAAGTTGACCTGATAATCAACCTTTTTTTTTTGGAGATATCAGCTCTTATGATAGCTTCTGCTACAGATTAAGGTCTTTATTTATACTGGATTATTATTGACCACGGTAAATGAAAATTAACCTAAGATTAAATCAAAGGACGGTTAAAGTTAAAAAAAAGAAGAGGAAATGATTTACATTTTGAAGAAATGGAGGTTTGGTTCCATTACATCATACAATATATGTGGACGCGGTTCTCTCGTGTTTGTCTATGGCAAGCAAAATTTGGCGGTCCACATGGAGAAGTGGTACGGTGTTACGTAAAAATTAAGTCTTTATTATGATTATTTAACTTTTTGGTTACTATACTTTGCCAATTTGATTATTTAACTTTTATACTGTTTCGATTTTGTCCCTCAATCATTAAATCATGAACGATATAATAATATTATGATTTATTTTTTACGTAAAAATTAAGTCTTTATTATGATTATTTAACTTTTTGGTTACTATACTTTGCCAATTTGATTATTTAACTTTTATACTGTTTTGATTTTGTCCCTCAATCATTAAATCATGAACGATATAATAATATTATGATTTATTTTTTACGTGAAAGCATGATTTTCAGAATCGGACCGATCAGCGAACCGGTCATGCTATCGGTTCACTGGTTTAATCGGTCGAACCGGTTCGACCGGTCGGAATAACCGGACGACGTCATAATTATTTAAAAAATTAAATAAAAATACCAAAAATATTTAATAAAAAATAATTTTGTATATCACAAGTCATATTCAAAGCAAATCATAACATATATGAGTTAAAAACCATAAAATCAAGTGAAACAAAATGATTCAAATTAACTACAACATAATATTTAAGATAAAACATATTAAATAATAAATATAATTATATAATTATAATTAAAAAATAAATTTGGGACTAAAAAAATCATAACAAAATGATATTGTTTGGTTTAATTTTTTTAAAAAAACAATCTCACATGGCTAAGAAACATAGAAGAACATCCAAAAAGTCTAAAGAGTAAAAATATGAAATCAAAACAATTCACATGGCTAAGAAACATAGAAGAGCATCCTAACTAATTTCTATAAATAATAGAGGTAATTTGACATTCAAAATCATGGAGCCTTTTGGTGAGCATAGAGTGAACTATTCTTTCACTTCAATCAAGCTTGAATTTTAGGCTTCAATCGAGCTTCTAAATTTTTTTTGAGTTCAAGCCTTTTCGAGTTCAAGTTTCAATATTATATTTCGAGTTCGAGTTGAACTTGATAATTTTTAGTTCGTGAGTTTGAGTCGAGTTGAGCTTACTTTTAAAGTTTGAGTCGAGCTCAGCAATACTCGAGTTCGACTTGGCTCGTTTAACAAACAACGTCGTTTGGTTTAATTTAAAAAAAACAAAATTGGCAGTTTTTTCTGGTTTTTTCTGATTTTCAGCCGGTCCGATTCGAACGGTTCGACGGTTCTGGCCGGTTCACTAATAACGGTTCAACCGGTTTAATTTGAATCGGACTAGACAATAATTTTCGGTTGAACCGGCCGGTCCGGTTTTCAAAACAAAGCGTGAAAGTTAAGTCTTTATTATGATTATTTAACTTTTTGGTTACTATACTTTGCCAATTTGATTATTTAACTTTTATACTGTTTCGATTTTGCCCATCAATCATTAAATCATGAACGATATAATATTATGATTTATTTTTTACGATATAATAATATGGGTTTTTTTACGTGGTTTATTATCAGGTTTTATTCAATGATCAACACTGAAGATTAACAAATAAAACGTTGAAGGGTTTAATTTTAGATCTATAGATATTTAAATGTTTTATGGTTAAATAAGTATTGAATTTGCGTTTAAGAAAAAAAAATTGATAAAATTTTACGGGACTCATCAATCTTGATGATCGATGGTCGAAATTAATGACTGGTTCAAACAAAGGAAAAGAAGAAAAAAATAAAAGAAAGAAGAGTAGAAAGAAAACTAAAGACCAATAATAATTTTTATATGAATTTAAAAAGATGTTTTGATGTAAATTTAATTTATAAAATATAAAATATAAAATGACATCATATTTTACAATATCATCCTAGCATTTGCTATAATTTTACAGTTGTTATAAAAATATTAAAATTAAATAATCAAATTTAAATGACAAAATAGGAGTATAGACACTTTTGAGTAATGAAATTTGCAGTTTATTCTTATAATTAATCGAGCGATCTAAATGATAAATGAATTGTTTTTTGTTTAATTATTGTTATTTCTAAAGTTTCCGGATTCTAACACCAAGGTTAAATATGAAGACATCATAATGCTGCCACGTGGTGGGATTTCCAGCATGATAACAATGAGATTGATTGATCTAGTTATGAAGTTTGCTAACAAAATACATTCATGATAGTTGTTATCCGAGAGTAACAATCAAAGACTAAATTGGAAATTGAGAAAAGTAAAAGAAAGAATCAAATTCTTTTAAAAAATAAAAGAGAATTACTGGAAATAAAATACTATGTATTTTGATCCTGAGATCAGAATTAGGCCTATAGTTACACAGTTTTCTTGAGACAGATTTTCGGCCACTCGTTGGTGCTCGAGATTCTTTGGTCGTTTGTCTCCCAAGATACAACAACTAGATGACCAGCTACAGTAGCACAATAGTAGAGATCACGAACTTTCCTTTTGTTCGACTATTACTGGAAAACTAAGGGAAAAGAGATATTTTCTGAGAATGAGAGAAAATATTTTCAAGAAAAGAAAACTTCTTGAATTCTGAGTTGTGAAAAAACTAAGAGATTTGCTAAGTATTTATAGGGAAATTTCGAGAGAGTTTTTCTCCAACTAAATCTCTTTTAATAACTAAATTTAAACAGATAATAATATCTTTTAAATTTAAAATATTAAACCTGAGAGATTTACTCCAACCAGATATCTTTTAATATATAAATTTAAATAGATAATAATATATTTTAAAATTAAAATATTAAACAAATATATACTCATTTTATTATTCAAATTAAAAAAATATTATTTTAATTTGAAATACACAGAAATATATAATTATCTTTTAATATTCAAAGTTAAAATTGTAACACATGCAATTTTAAATTGACATATTAAAAGAGTAATTATCCTACTGATATTCAAATTAAACCATATCTTTTAATTTGCAATGTCTAAAAGAATTTAACATAAATATTAAATCCATCAATGTGATTCACACTTTTTTACAACAATTCTCCATATGAATGAAATTGATGATTTAATAAAAAAACATTTTGACACGATGTAGTGATAACCTCTATGATTGATAATTGCATAGGATAGGTAGGTAACCTCCTTTAAACTTTCCCTTGTGACAGTATATTTACTTTACTGGTTAAACAGTAGACGTGATGTCCTTGAATTGTTCTGTCGTTTGTGTAAACGATGACATACTTCACATAACTACCTCTCTAACAATAATTTAGTTCTCATAGGTATGTCGTTAAAGCCATGGACATCGCCAGGTTCTACAAGAGTTTGAGAGAATTATACCCCAATAGTCTCCATGAAGCGGTCTCACTTCACTCTCACATAGGTGACTTATGTTGCTCGGCTCACTGTTGCACTCAATGGTAATTAAAAGCCTAGCTTAGTCTATACCACTTTGATCACTGTTTACATCATATGAACGGACTTGGGATCTCCAGCCAACAAGGTATGCTTTTTCTTTACATAACACCTTTAAATTTCATGGGCTTTAGTTCCATTCCTTTAGATGTCTTCTCAACTTGATCTCGGTTTAACCCTTTGGTTAGCAGATCCGCAATGTTATCATTTGATTTTACAAAATCAATAGAGATAACTCCATTTGAGATCAGTTGTCTAAGGGTATTGTACCAACGATGCATATGTCTCGGTTTACCATTATACATGAAATTTTATGCTCTAGCAATTGTAGCTTGGTTGTCACAATATATCCATACTGTG